GCGATTTGCAGGACTTACGCGACACATAATTCATTGATATTCCAGTGGAGCGGAATCAGAGTGATGGGATCCAGATTTTTTTGGACCGGTTTTATTGTGGGATCCCGTGGTGATGCGGCTAGAACGACGTTAAAGTGACCATCAGTGGCAGTGAGGATCGTCGGCGCTGGGTTGGCAGAGCTATCCCCGTTCACGAGAGCAACCGTGCCAGCTGGGCAGATCGCGCAGATATCTTGGGCATGGACGAATATTGACGGATTGAGGCTCCAGACCCCTTCTTCATTGAAGAGCTGATACGAGTATCCAACTCGACATAGCAGCACTGGTAACCTTTTCTGAAGCAAGAGGCACAGAAGGTAAAGAAGAAACACGGATTTGCCTAATCCAGAACTCAGTCATTTGGCCAAGAGAATAATAACCACTGACCCATCCCCGGGTGACCCCATACGATGACGGCCCATTTTGACTTCTTGCTCGAGTCTAGAATGACCTTCTCCATCCTGTCATACTCGTCGCGGACAAGGAGGTTCGTATCATAAAGAAATGGCATGCCTTTGGGCAAAACCAGGAATTTAGCTTTAAACCCCTCGAACTCCTCATCTTTTCTGTGCAGGCCGCCGTCACGACGACACCACTCCCAGAGCTCGTGCATTGGACCAGGATCAGGGTTTTTGTGTCGGAAGATCTGCTCCATCATTGTCGTAAGTTTGGTTTGAGATTCCAAGAGGCGGTCCAGTTTCTCGGTGGTCAGGAGTCTGATCTCGTTCATGGTGTTGGCGAACTTGGTATCGGATGCCTTTGTGTCCTGCGCCATCTGCGCCATCATCGTCTCAAACTTCTTATCGGTGTTGGCGAACTTGGTATCGGATGCCTTTGTGATCTGCGCCATCATCGTCTCAAACTTCTTATCAGACCTGTCGAGCATCTCCTGAAAGGACTTTGGAGTGTCTCCAGCGACATCCTGCGAGTCCAGTGAGGACGAGATTTAGCCTATGTGAATGGTGCCTCACGATATCTCCTTGTTCCATTCGAGGCCTCTGAGTATACATCAAACAGATTCTATAACTAAAATGCCAACAAACCTTGGGCGGTCTCTCGACGTCTTCATCTGTGGGTTTCGCAGAAACGGCGGGGGTGGCGGATGACATGAGTGAACAATGCACGTGCTGATGTCTTTTTTGGGATTTTATCTGGAAATAGCTATGTATGATGAACCAGACACCCCACATGAATCAGTGAAAACCGTGTTTCAGAAGATAGCTTTGGTGTAAAACCTATGGGAGCTGTGGTCTCGCAGACCGTTTTCGAAGCTTCTTATAAATCGTGGTCGAGTTACACCGGCCATGTCTTCTATATTTTTCAGTTACACCAGATTACGCCGAGGTGGCACATGCAGCCGATCGAAACCTTTGAGTGTAAAAACCTATCGAGGCCGCAATCTCACAAACCGTTCTATACTATTAGTATGAAACTGAGAGACACAATTCCAAGTACAGTATGTAGATTCTGACAACATTGCCTCAGATCTGGGAGCACGTCGTTCAGCTCAGGACCGAAAGTTGTCAGGAAAGCGAACGCACCTTATATCATGGAGACGCAATTCGACCACGATTTCCGCTCTTCTCTACATCCTGTCCAAAATCCTTCCTGAATACCACAATGTACGTCTCTTTGGGAGCTGAAAGACCTGAAAGAGGAAGCGCCAAATCGTCGATGACCAAAATATGGTGGTCGATCCCTATCCAGAAGGACTTGCGCCCAGATTCCAAAATGACAATGGTTATGAATCGTCAAGGCAGCTGAGGGAGGCATCAGACTCGTTGCAACGACACCTTGTGCAAAGTTCTCGTCTTACCTTCTATTCTTTGCTCTCTATCATCAACGGGTTACCTGAAACCCGAGGTTTGCGCTGTTTCCATTGTCGTGGCAGAAGGCTGTCCAAGACCTAAGCTGCGAATTCTGTTCAGATTCAGGCTTCAAATCGAGGCCAACGAAAATGACCTCATTTTGTCTCGTTTCCAAAACCTCGTCTCGTCCACAGAAAACAACAAAAAATCCGCAGCATTCAATATGCTCGCCGTCAGTAATATAACCGTCACGCCAATGATGAAGGTGTGCGATGGGGTTGGCGTTGTAGATGTTGACGGCAGCTCTGTTTGCTGGTAATGATGACGGACGACTCGAATCATTCTTTGTAACGATTGCAAATGCAGGTTCACCATTCTACCGGCACCCATTTCAATGCTCGATGCGCCTCAGAATCGCGCTCCATTGTCGTCCGACGCAGAGAGCATTCACCCCAATGCTCAGCTCTTACGCTGGGACACCGAAATTCATGGACACCAGCTTTTCTGTCGCTATGAACATTAAGCCAAGGAATTTAAGCCTGAAAAACACGTACATGATCCTGTCAAGAATCCTCTCCAGCAGGCTTCAATTTGGGTTTTCTGAGCTGTGACCCCATTAACAGGCCTTGGATTCGGGAAATTTCATTGTCGCAGCGTAAGAGCTCATTCTGAGCATCGTCGAGGAAGGTGGGGATGCTTTGCGTGTCATGAGACGACAAGGGGAGCAATTCTGACGAGCATGTCGAAGCGAAAAGGGCTCCGGTAGAACCGTGAATGTGGAATTGTAGTAGAGAATTATTTCAAGCTGCCATCGCTTTTCTTTTGCTGTAAACATTGAGCCGAGGAATTCGACGCCTGAAGCAGACCTACGTAGTCCTTGAGAGAAATCTTCTTTCCAGCTTGGTGTCTGTCTTTCGCAACTGTCAGACATCGCATCGAAAGGCAAGCTATTTCGTGACAATGTGACCCGAGCAAGCTCTTCCGTTCACCACGACCAATCACCACCCTAGTTCTACCTCTCCATGAAGGACCCTCTTTGACATATCTCTCCTGTGAACCAGAATGACAGCGAGCGTTGAAAGGACTTGATTCCAAGTCAGACTTTGTAAGTCGTTTGTTCGTACTGTCTTCATTAGCGTTCGTGCTGTCTTTATTCGCGTTTCTCTATTCTTTTTTTATACTGCGTGAGGAGGAAAAGAAGGACGAGGGATTTCTGTTGGAGGCGGGGAGAGAGGGAAATCTTCTCTGGGTGTCCTGCGGACGAGATGAGGGAGGTGAAAGGGACGAAACGAGATGACGTTTATCCATGACGCGAGGGTTTCCTGGAAAGACGAGCTCATGTCGATGACGAGGTCTCTGGAATTTTGGTTGGACGATACGGCTCTTTTCATGGTTGCTCAGACGAGGAGGAAGGAGCGACACATATATATCCATCTTTTCCTCCCTTCCCTTTGTCTCTTTCCCTTTTGCTCTCCGCTCCCGTTTGCTCCGTCTTCCGTTTGCTCTTTCGTTTTCTTCTCTGCTCTTTTGCTCTTCCCATCCCCTCTTTTTTACCTTGTTCACCTTCCTTCTTCTCTCGCCTCTCTGTCTCGTCGTCGCTCCCTTTCCTCCGCTACGCTCTTCCCCTCTTCCGACGTTCGCTGAGCTCCTTCGTGCAGGTCTGAACATCTAGAATCCCAAAGCCTCCCGCGAACGAGACTGGTTACGTCCGTTGTGGTTGCTGGGATCGCTGTATTGTGAGCCTTTTCTTGTTCTTCAGTTTCGTCAACGATTTTACGTTGGAATTCGGATAAAGAGGTTTTTTTTTTTGCGGTGGTGTACGAAGAGCAGAGCCTTGGTGGTTTCCAGTCTGTCCCTTATTAGCTCTGTCCTTCCTCTTCCATTTCCCCGCGAATACGCGAATGCGTCTCGCACGAATCTCGTTTTCCTTGCAATTCACCTCGCCTCTTACCGTTGGTTGGAACCAAGATTGACGCCCAAACACAGCCTTTCGCAGTTGATTGGGAGCATGTTGGCGCTTGAATATATGCGAGCTGGTGAGCTATTCCTTCTCTTATCGTCACGCTTTCTATATTCCTGTCGCTCCTTGTTTTTCGGTGTTGCTTTCCTTTACGCACCCGGTTCCTTTTTCCTTCTCGCGTCTCTTTCCTTTCCCCACTTCACCTCGGCTGATCCATCCATATCTACGAATCATTTGGATGCATCCGACGACGCTCAGCGGATACCATCAAACCATGGCTCTTGTTTCCAAAACTGACTGTCGTCGTTGCATCAAATACATCTTGTTTCACCAATTCTATCATCTTATTTCCAAATCCTTCCCAACTCTCACTGACGCTCCTTTTCCCAGCTTCTTCAACTCTCGTGTTCATGCATAAGAAGCTTGACCGGGCGACACCGAAGAGTCTGATTGGGAGAAGTCCACCATCGGCTTTGGGCGTGAATGGCAGGGGTGGGTTTGAGTTGACGTGCCGTATCCGACGTGTCGACAACGTAGACGGGAGGAGGAGGGCTTATAACAACGGAGAAGACAGTGATGTGTATCATCCATCGTCAAACGGGATACGAGAGATATACATAATGATTACTTACTACATGTACCAAATTCATCGTTACATAGTCGCACTTGTTTTTCGTTGGGGTTGGATTCCAATTCTTATTGGGCAGTACGCCGTATTGTCTCGTTCCGTGATTGACTTGAATGACTCGCAGGAAGTTGCGATGGATTTGGATCTAAATCGCTGTACGAGGCCGGATCGCCATCTCTTGGGGAGTAAAGGATTGTCATCTTTTTTGGGACTGATTTCTGTGGATAGTACAACAGAGCCTGATTTGTGCACAATCTGGTCCGACAGTACGAGGTCCCATTGCATTTCCCAAGATGAGGGAGTCTGATTTCATTTCGCAAGACCAGGGATTGCGATTTCATTTTCACAGTAATTATGACGCCCGATTCCGGTTGCATTCAGTATGATGCATTGCGATCCCATTTCACACTACGAGACTATTAACATTAAAGCGTGATGTGAGGCGACGAGGCTCGCGCTATAATGCCTAAATTTGCGTTATGGGTGGTCGGGCTTTTCGGAGTGATGCAAAGGTACGTTTAAACGATTTCATGGAGTAAAAGCGCCATTGGAATAGGAAAAAGATTGATTCGACCCAGGCTCGAACTGAGGACCTTCTGTGCGCATGAAAGCAGTATGCGCCTTGGCATGTTAGACAGATGCGATAACCAACTACGCCATCGAACCAATAATACGACATGAGAGAATGGACATCATGGAGGTACTAGCGAAGATCAATTCAATGCTCCCTTGAAATAGGATCAGGACAAGGATTGAGATTTATCATTTTATTCAGGAAATATCCGCGATGCAGTGGACGAGTGGGATTGATATTCCTGGTGAACGGGAGGGTGATTCCAATTTCCTAGTGGACGCGACTCATTTCCATGGGACGCAGCCCATTTTCATGGCACTCCGATACTTTGAGAGTATGGTTTGGAAGACGGTACTTGGACGTCCATTTTTCTTTCAACGGGACTCTTAATATCAATCCTTTTGTTGTGGAGACTCTTATTTGTTCGCACCGGACTCTGAGAACATTTATTTCACCCACCGTCACTTAAAAAGCTTTTTCAGGCGTGGGTAGCATGCTGGGCTTCAACCTGATGAGAACCATCTTATAGTACACTCGGGGGTTCACTCAGTTTCCCATCCGTCCTTAGTCTTCTGGTTCCTCTTCTGAATAATGCCGAGACTAGTCACTGTTTGCGTTTTGGTACTTGGTGCAAAGTTCAAACAAAACACATTCTTCAAGTAACACAACAATTCAAGAAGATCAGCCTGGAAATAGGTATCTTGTTCAGACGGCCTGCCAAACATCTAGTATGTGGTGTCGTGAACAGTTTGTGTCGTGAACAGTTTAGTACTGTCATGAACAATCTGGTACGTGGTGTCGCGTCTCCTCGATAGATATTTCCACAACGCCGAGTCTTCCTAATATCTTTGCATTGCCGAGTCTTGCTGATATTCTAATAAGTATTCCGAGTTTGTTCTAATATCCTGAGTGAGGTCCCTCCTCGGAGATGCCTGGGAATTTAGAAAGAAAGATTGGGGTACGGGACGAATGGTCGGGTACGGGGAGAAAGGGCGGGTATGGGTATAGGAAGAAAGGTCAAGAGACGTGTGGGAACGCAGAGCCGCTGGTTCGTAGACATCCTGATACTCTGAGGGCGGGAGATGTCTGGTGCTGGTATTTGGAGGAAAGCGAAGCGAAGCCCTTCGGCTTGAGGGCTTGAGCTTCGACTCTTTCCTTCAACTCTTTTTGTGACAGGACACCGCTGCAAGTTCCAGCTGTGGCACGATTGGTTCAAGATGAATAAGCCACAAAAAAGTTGATTTGATCCAGGCTTGAACTGAAGACCTTCGGCGTACTGGCCAATTGGAATGGAATGTGAAACAGATGCAATGACCAACTACACCATCACACCAATGGTGTGCCCACAGAAGATCAGTCAGCATGATGGAGGAGTGGGAGATACTCAAGATCATAGCCCAAATTGGATGAGGTACTCTACTCACAGGATGACGAGCACATCTTCCTGACTTCTAAAAGAATGAGCCACGAAGACAGTCTACATGGTGGTGTTGAGACACTTGAAAATAAGGTTTGATGTATACCAGCTCTGAGGCCAGCTTTTGGTTTTCCTAGGAATATATCAAAGTAGTGGAAAATTTCAAATTCAATCTGTACAATTGCTCATGAAAAGGGTGTCATATTGATTCATTCAGTGTGGTAATCCATTGCCAAGCAGCATGTGTCGAAGCCGATGCATCAAGGTCTTTCGAGCTGAAACCTGGTGCATATGGACACTTTGGTTTCTTTGATATTCCCGCCGCCTTTCATATTCTCGCTGACTCTCATATTCCCGCTGCCTTTCATATTCCTAGAATCAGTCACATAAAAATTCAGTCCGACTCCCAAAATAGTCACTAAGAGACCTACCTTGACACATATGATAAGCTGGTCCAAATGGGGTGTTACTTTGGGTAGGATATGCTAGTGTCAGAGTGAGAATAATTTACCTAAATAGTAGGTGGAATAAGAACTCACCTTGCATTGTTCAGTTGCCAATTTCAAGTCACTCTCAAACTCTGTTGGATTTATAGCCATTGTGACAAAGGACATATTTGGTATCAAAGTTTTGAGCAATTTGATGACCTGTGCTTCAAGTTCGGAACTTCCTGCACTCTCTTGATCATATGTGGTCAGGATTCCATTAAAATGATGGGCCCAACGCTGGAAGGCATAGTATATGGTATAAGTCCTCTTCAGTTTCTTGTCAGTCTGTAGATACTGAATGATGTAAGTGATGCAGTTGAAAAGAATGTGTTGGTGGAGAGTTGCAGATTTGAAAAACTGGTCTTGGTGCCGAGTTGAATCTGTTAAAAAGTCCAGCAAAGAGGTGTGATATGGTCGAATGGAGCCCTCATATGATGTCGGAAGAATCATAACAGAAAGGCATCCACGCAATGCCAGGTGCACATCTTCAACTGACTTGAGTTGAAGAAGTTCATGGATGTCATAAATTGAAGGTGTTTTAGAGTCTGTGTTATAAAATGAAACTGGTTTATGGAGGGCGATAGCACCAAGGATCAATCCAAAATTTGGATAAGATTTGGCATCCTCTAGCACTTGCTTGTAGAGTGAGTCCAAGCCTTTGTGCATCCGTTTGGCAGTCTCCAAATTTTGTCGGGGGTCTCCATATTTGTCATCAATGAATCTGACAAGTGTTGATGCATAGGCAAATATTCCCTCTGACTTTTCAGCCAAGAGGGTCACAACACTTTGACCAGGCCAGTCTGCACCCAGTTTTCGTCTTTGTGCAATGTCACAGAACTTGGGCAGTAGATAGCTCTCCACATCCTGTATAGCAGGAAAGTCCTGGAGAGCCATATGAGACATTGAAGTGACTAGATCAAACATCTCGGCAATGTCAGCTTCTGGTCGGCTGGTGAAGAGGATGCGGAAGTGAAGCTGTGTTGCCATTGTGTCAATGAGGATCTTGACTAGATGTTGCAGCTGGATTTTTCCTTCAGCCTGATTATATTCATCAAGGCCATCAATGACAACAACAATGGGGAGAGCTGGAGGTCTGGCTGAAAGAATGGGGACAATGATGCCAGCAATGCTTGTGAGCTGACCCTGGAGATGTTGGTGAAAAAGTCCTGCATTGGTCTCAAGGGCTTCATCAACTTTGTCCTCTATAGAAGGGATATCTGTGCTCTTGGCCATATCTGTGCTCTTGTCCACATCTATGCTCTTGGCCAGGGTATAGACAAAGGTAGGGATGAATACAGACAGGTCACTGCGGGAGGTATATCTCCTGGAGAAGAAGTAGCTGAAGGCAAGACAATGGTTCTCATCACACTGTTGAGCCACAGTATGAGCAATAGTTGACTTTCCAGCACCTGCAGGACCAGAAAGCCAACAGACTGGTTTACCATGACCTCGAGCCCATTGGTCCAGCTGCTTTAAGACCTGTGTTCTTGTCTTTGGTGCACAAACTGATGCTTCCTCACGCTCCCGCTCATAGGAATTGTATGCTGTGTCATGCCTAGCAAGATCCTTGAGCCGCTTGGTCACTGCTGAAAACATAAATGCCATATTCCACCACAGAAATCAAGGAATATTACCAGGAGCATGATGAATGATATTGCCGTAATTTTGACCGACATTGTGAGAGCCCACATCACGACCCACAGTGCCTACAAAAATATTGAGGACTTTCCTTGACTCCATTAGCTTGGATAGACCTACCAATATAGTTCCCTTTCAGGTCTACTTGGATGGCCTTTGACATATCAAAAAATGAGGGAGAGCTGTTCGATGGAAGTAAGGACAGAGTGCAGCTGACAGCTGACACCGAACATGCAGCATCATCCATGTCAATGTCATGGACCAATCAGCACTGGTTACGCCAAGGTCACGCGTCCCAAGACAAATGTTTTCAAACCCCGCTGGCGGTAGAACTTAGCAGAGGCTTGATCCGAACTTACATTTCTGGTGGATGGGTTAGTACTGTAGGCGCTAGGCATTAGGAGACAGAGAACAGTTCAAATGTGCCGGCAGCACAGAACTCTGCACAGAATAATACAGACAGGGTCTGCATGAGTTGTATAATTCCATGGCCGGGTCAGATTACGGACAGACATGCATATGGATGAAAGAGAAATCACATACCACATGAATGGACTTGAACAATGGAATCTGGTGAAGAAAGGAGAGAGATACTTGATTTACAAAGAGCACTGGGCCAAAAGAAAAGAGATATCAAGCGCTGCGCGGCAAGCGTAACCATCGGACATGTGGTCCGAAGCCGAAGACCAATCGGGATTACTCGTCACCTTGTCATCCTGCCTTCATGTCCTTACGTCGAACGACATTTTGCAGCCAGTAAGTCACATCTTCTGTACCTTATAGTCATTCTCAACCAGAATCCCAAGTCTTTTGCTGTTCTTAGCCCTTGGCCCCGATCAACAGCACGGTTAAATTCACGTCCTTTTTCAGCTTCGTTCGTCTCTCCTGCTTTCTGTGATGCAAGAGACTCATCCTAAGCCATTATCTAGCCATCCCTGGTCAATGGGTTGGATGTAAATCGTGTAGCCCATTGAGGTTGGACATTTCTGCTTTTTTAAATCCTTCCCTTGCTGGCACTGCAGCTTCTACGCATGGTGAGCATTATCATGCTGGGTTCATATTACCGCTTATTCCGTTCAGCTTCAGCTATTTGCTGTCCGAAATCATCATTGACCAGCATTTTAAACCATGACTCTACGATCATCGTCAGCACGCTGTCATTTCCTCTATAGATCCATTCTAAGCGTCCCTTTCAGATGGACTTAGCTTGGGTGGTGCTGGTAGCGGGTCGACAGGAATCTGCAAACAGCTTTGTTTGTGACATTGTTTCTCTTAGCGCCTGGTAGGTCCCCTTTTTCTTCTGGTTCATTCACTCTGACCTTCAATCTAGCCAATGATCGTTCTCCTTTCACACGTGTATCCAACCCAATGTCAACCGGCACATACAGCATTGATGGTTCGCGCGCTTGCTGCTTTTCTATGCTTGCTTGTCAGACCCTTGAGGTAAGATCAGCTCCTTTCATGTCCTTTTCAACAATTTAATCTTCGCCAGCTCCATGCCGCATCAATCAGAACCGTGAACCATGATCCTTCTATAGCACTGTTCACCTCTCAGCTCTTTCCATTACTGTGTTGTCCGTCAAATCCGACTCGAGACTGTATATACCCAGACTAACCGGCGCAATTTCCAACATCTCTGCATTGGCCGCCGGACACTGAAGACTGGATTAACCCAAGCAAGATGCTGCTTCATTGGGATGGTACGTCGCTTTTTCTTCTAATGTGATTCAACCGTCTCATATTGGGATGCAGCACACCTCTTACTCCCTCTCTGCCTCGACGGCGTCGCCACGCCAACCCCGTCGTCGCCTGCATCGGCCTTGTCATCATCTTGATGGCGTCTATATATCGAATGCTGCGGGTTCCTGGGCCTCCGGTCAGGCTGGGCTTTCGGTTGGCTTTTTCCGGAAAATCAAAAACTGAGGAGACGTTGGATCTGGGAAGGGGCAGATAGAGAGAGAGAGAGGTTTTCATGGACGAGCTTTTCGCAAACGAAGGAGACGAGGTCGTTTTCGTTGGCTCTAGCCTAGGCCCTTGGTTGGGCTGGGCTTTCGGTTGGCTTTTTTGTGATGCAGAAGAGGTCTTTTTCGTTGGCTGCTGGTTTGGATGAGGATTCCCAAACGAGGCAGACGAGGATGAGATGAGACAAGCGGTTTTTCGTTAACGAAACGAGGTGGACCAAGGGCGGACGTGGTACCCGAGAAAGGTCGTCTTTCGATCGGTGAAGAGACAGGGATTTTGTCATTTGGGTTTTCTCAGCTTCGATACTCTTTATCACCCCTCGTAGTCGAGGAATTTCGTTGTCGTAGGGCAAGAGCTTGTTCTGACCCTTATCGAGGAAGGCGTGAATGCTCTCGGTGTCATGGGTCGACAATGCAGCGTAATTCCGACGCGCATGTGCACTGCAAAACGGGTTCTGGTAGAATGGATTCAATGGAAAGGCTTCTCAAATTCTTCCCAACTCTCACTGACGCTCCCTTCTCAGCTTCCTCAACTCTCTCATCTTTGTGTTGACGAATTAGAAGCCCGAGCCGGGGGCGATACCGAAGAGTGTGATTGGGAGGAGTCCACGATCGGCTTTGGGCATGGATGGCAGGCATGGGTTTGAGTTGACGTGCCATATCCTACATGTCGACGACATAGACGGGAGGAGGAGGGCTTTTAACAACGGAGAAGACAGTGATATGCATCATCCGTCGTCTCTGGCTTCCAAGGCTAATTCCAATTCTGAATCTCTTCTCATGTCGCAGTCTCAGAATCGAAGTAGAAGCGATAGAAGGGGGAGATGACGCGGTGGATTCGTAGACTCGTTGATGGGTCTCATAGATTCCGCGAAACGTCTTAGAAGGATACGAGAGATACACAACGATTACTTACCACCTATATAATACTCATCGCTACATAGTCGCACTTGTATTTCGTTGGCTTGGATTCTGATTCTTATTGGGCACCGGATTGTCTTTTCATTCATGAGTTCTGAATCGCCATGATTGACGAGAATGTTTTCGGTCGTAGTAAGTTGCGATGGATTTGGATCTAAATTCGCTGTACGACGCCCGATTCTGATCCAGCCTGATCTGCCAGTACGAGAAAATCCTCATTGCATTTCGCAGGACAGAGGAATCTGATTTCATTTTGCAGGACCAGGGATCGCGATTCCGTTTTCACAATACGATGCTCGATTCCGATTGCATTCAGTATGATGCATTGCGATCCCATTTCGCACTACGAGACTATTAACATTGAGGCGTGATGTGAGGCGACGACGCTTGTGCCGCAATGCTTAAATTTGCATTATGAGGTGGTCGGGCTTTTTGGAGTGATGCAAAGGTACGTTTAAACGATCACGGAGTAAAAAGCGCCATTGGAATAGCAAAAAGACTGATTCGACCCAGGCTCGAACTGAGGACCTTCTGTGGGGACAGGAAAAATGGTATCCTATGTTAGACAGATGCGATAACCAACTACGCCATCGAACCAATGATATGGTCCGAGAGAATGGACATTATGGAGGTACTAGCGAAGAGGACTCTGAATATTAATATCAATCTTTTTGTTGTGGAGTCTTGTATTTGTTCGCACTGGGATTCTGAAGACATGTTTTATTTTTTACGATATTCATCCACTTTGAGAACATTTATTCATTCACTCCGAGCACATCCAGACAAGTACATACGTCATTTGATGGATCTCGGTACATATGCTGTTTGCTGGATCTCTGTATGACCCAATCCAATGTGGCGCAGATGCCAAGTTTGCAAGATCAAATATTAATCAATGGGTGTCACCGCTGAAAAAATCCGTGGGTGACCTTAAAAAACTTTTTCAGGTCTGCATAGTACGTACGTGCTAGGCTACAACTGTTCTGTTCTGCCAAACCTGTCCAATCCAGTGAAAACTTTACTATACTACGCTTGGGGCTTCACTCAGAAGTTTCCCGTCCCTATATTCTGATACTAACGTCCAAGAAATCAACGAAATGTATACTGAGACCAAGTACAAGTTCAACTGGCTTGTTAAGTATTAAGAAGGAAGCAGTTTGCCCCTGACATGAGAATCGAGACAGAAAGCACCCATGCAAGTTTGCTTCAAAGCCGTCTATCTGGCTAGAGGAGCCGGCCAGAGCTATCTTTGACCGCCAAAATTATTCACGGCGGCCGAGTTTCCAAGATTTATCAGCATATCGGGCGGTTGCTGTTGATCAAAACTCAAAATCACCAAAAAGGATTTATATCAAAGACTCGAGAAGATCCATATAGAAAACTCAGGAGGATTCGCATAGATTCATATTAAAGACTTGAGAGGACTCATATTAGAGACCTTGATAAGATGCATATTAAAACCCTGAGAGGATTATAAAAAAATAAAGAGCACAAATGAACTAGATACTTGATGGGCCATGAGAAATGGGAGATTTTTTGGGAGATGTGGGAAACCTCCCAAAATCTCAAAACAGGGGGTTAAGTAGTGTCAATTCCACTTGAATGGTTCATTCAGGTCCAAGGAATATGCTCATAAACTTAGTTGAGACTTGGTAAGTTGATCTCCCAGTCATTTCCCACGCATCTCGTTCACTGGGTTATTCTAGGCCACTGTTGATGTGGCTCATGCATCAAGTCACCTTCGAATGCCACTAAGTTCTCATCCACTGTTGGATGTTTCTCGAGGCTCTCCTTTCTCCTGCGGCCGTCAAGTTAATGTGACTGTCTGGTCACACTGAATCAAAGTGTATTAGACACTATATCTTGGTTTGTAATCCACTTCTTGCATTGAAATCAGTATCAACAAGTTCACTATGAGCTTGTATTACTGCTCCAGACTTTCCAAGATTTTCTCCTACAAATCTCCCATCACCTCCCATATGCTCCCATGGAATCTCCCAAATCTCCCAAATCTCCCATCAAATCTCCCAAATACCAATGCCCATACTTGATCCAGTATCCTCAAATAATTTCCCGGATGGACACCTGTGCCTTGAGACCTCAAGCAAATCTTCCAAGCTGAAATCCAATGCATATGGACAGAAGTGTCAGTACCCTCCCGAGTTGGAGTACCCTCTGGCATTGGAGTACCCTCCTGCACTGCAGTACCCTCCTGCCTTGGATTTTCATATTCCTAGAATTAGACACATAAAATTCAGTCTGACTCTCAACATACCATCATTAAAAGGACCTACCATCATACACCTCATAAGCTGGTCCAAATGGGGTGTTACTTTAGGTAGGATATGCTAGTGCCAGAGTGAGAACAAGTTACCTAAATAGTAGCCAGAAGAAGAGCTCACCTGGGATTGTTTAGCTGCCAATGCCCAGTCACTCTTGAGATGTATCAATTCTGAATAACTGACATAGGGCATCCATCGGTTGATCTTTGGTATCAGAATTTTGAGCAATTTGGTGACCCTTGCTTCAAGTTCAGAACTCTTTATGCTCTCTTGATTATAGGCAGTCAAGATTCCATTAAAGTGATGGACCCAGCTCTCTAAAGCATAGTCTCTGGTGTAATTCCACCCCAGTTCCACCCCAGCCTGTAGATAATGAATGGTGTGGGTGATGCAGCTGAAAAGAAGGTGTTGGTGGACAGTTGCAGAATTGAAAAACTGATCTTGGTGCCGATTTGGATCTTTTAAAAAGTCCAGCAAAGAGGTGTGATGTGGTAAAATGAAGTCTGTATCTGATGTTGGGAGAATCATAACAGAAAGGCATCCGCGCAATGCCAAGGACACATCTTCAACTGACTCAAGATGAAGAAGTGAGGGGATGACATAAAGCTGAACTCTTCTCTGGAAGAGGCAAAAAGCACCAATGACCAGTTCAAAATTTGGATAAGATTTGGCATCCTCTAGCACTTGCTTATAGAGTGAGTCCAAGCCTTTGTGCATCTGTTTGGCAGTCTCCAGATTACGCCGAGGGTCTCCATATTTGTCATCAATAAATCTGACAAGTGTTGAGGCATAGGCAAATATTCCCTCTGACTTTTCAGCCAGGAGAGTCACAACAGCTTGACCAGGCCAGTCTGCACCAAGATTTCGTCTTTCTGCAATCTCACGAAACTCAGGCAGCAGATAGTTCTCCACATCCTTTATGGCAGGAAAGTCCTGGAGAGCCATGTGACACTTTGGGGTGACTAGTTTGAACATCTCAGCAATGTCAGCTTCTGGTCGGCTGGTGAAGAGGATGCGAAAATGGAGTTTTTTCACCATTGTGTCAATGAGGATCTGAACCAGATGTTTTGGGCGGATTTTTCCCTCATCCAGATTATATTCATCAAGACCATCAATGACAACAATCACAGGGTGGGCTGGGTGGCTGGCTGAGAGAATGGGTCCAATGATGCCAGCGATGGTTGTGAGCTGGCCTTCAAGATGTTGGTGAAAAAGTCCTGCATTGGCTTCAAGGGCTTCATCAACCTTGTGCTCAATAGAAGTAATCCCTGTGCTCTTGGCCAGGGTATAGACAAAGGTAGGGATGAATGCAGACAGGTCACTGCGGGTGGTATATCTCCTAGAGAAGAAGTAGCTGAAGGCAAGACAATGGTTCTCATCACACTGTTGAGCCACAGTATGAGCAATAGTTGACTTTCCAGCTCCTGCGGGACCAGAAAGCCAACAGACTGGGTCACCGTCACCTTGTGCCCATTGGTCCAGCTGCTTTAATATATCTTTTCTTGTGTTCGGTGCACAAACTGATGCATCCTCACGCTCCCGCTCAAGGGAATTGTATGCCGTGTCATGCCTAGCAAGATCCTTGAGCCGCTTGGTCATCGCTGCAAAACATAAATGCCATATTCCACTACAGAAATCAAGGAATATTACCAGGAGCATGATGAATGATATTGCCGTAATTTTGACCGACATTGTTAGAGGCCACATCACGGCCCACGGTGCCTACAACAAATGTTGAGGACTCTCCTTAACATCAGCTCACATAGACCTACCAATATAGTTCCCTTTCAGGTCTACTTGCATGGCCTTTGACATATCAAAAATGAGGGAGAGCTGTTCGATGGAAGTAAGGACAGAGTGCAGCTGACAGCTGACACCGAACATGCAGCATCATCATTGATCATCATGGACCAATCAGCACTGGTCACGCCAAGGTCACGCGTCCCAAGACAAGTGCTTTCAAACCCCGCTGGCGGTAGGCTTGATCCGAACTTACATTTCTGGTGGATGGGTTAGTACTGTAGGCGCTAGGCATTAGGAACAGAGAACAGTTCGAATGTGCCGGCAGAACAGAACTCTGCCCAGAATAATGCAGACAGAGTCGGCATGAGTTGTATAATTCCATTAGGGCCCTGTTTATAGTACTGGTTTGCAAACCAGTTTATAAACAGGTGTTTATAAACCGGTTTTTAAATACAGTCCCAGGAACCCTGGTTTATTGGTTTTTAAATATACCACTGGTTGGGCCTTTTCCGCGAGTTATAGTGGTTGATATGAGATATTTTGGTGATACACTCACATTGAAATGTCCTTGCAATGATCTCAAGGTTGCATTTGACGCTGTGGAGGCCCTGCATCGACCAACAACGGAGCCTGAGGTGACTGACAGTTGATCAAGCGTGGGAATTCTTTATCAATATTTTTGTCCAAGTCCGCTCGTCGAAGTCACTGATGCATTTTGTGCATCATCAGACCCTTTTGGAGTGTCCAGTCCGAAGCCGAATACTAATCGGGATTACTCGGCGATGCCTGGGAATTTACCCGAGCATCACCTTTTCATCCTGCCGTCATGTTCCTTGCTCATTGTGTACATCGAACAGCATTTGCAGCTAGTAAGTCACATTTTCTGTACCTTATAGCCATTCTCAACCAGAATCCCAAGTCTTTTGCTGTTCTTTGCCCTTGGCCCCATTCAACAGCGCGGTTAAATTCATGTCCTTTTTTAGCTCCGTTCGTCTCTTCTGCTTTTCTGTAACGCAAGAGACTCATTTTAAGCCATTATCTAGCCACCCCTGGTCAATGGGTTGGATGTAAATCGTGTAACCCATCGAGGTTGGACATTTCTGCTTTTTTGAATCCTTCCCTTGCTGGCGCTGCAGCTTCTACGCATGGTGAGCATTATCATGCTGGGTTCATATTATCGCTTATTTCATTCAGCTTCAGCTATTTGCTGCCCGAAATCATTGTTGGCCAGCATTTTAAACCATTCTCAAGCTGTAGCTCTACAATCCTCGTCAGCACGCTGTCATTTCCTCTCTAGATTCATTCTAAGCATCCCTTTCAGATGGTCTCACCTTGTGTGGTGCAGGTCAACGGTCAACAGCAATTTGCAAAGGGCTTTATCGTGACATGGTTTTTCTTAGCGCCCGGTAGGTCTCCTTTTTTCTTCTTGTCCATTCGCTCTGACCTTCGATAATAGCCAATGACCATCCTTCTTTCACACATGTATCCAATGTCAACCAGCAACCGGCACATACAGCATTGATGATTCACGCGCGCGCTGCCTTTCTATGCCTGCTTATTGGAACTTCAAGG